ACCCACAGTCTTCCTCAAGTCATCTGTTAGTAACTATACAACCTACAAATTAACCACTATTCTATCTTCTCTACAAACAAGTTAGTTTAACATATTTTTTAGTTTTATAAAAATAGAATCACATAATATATGCTCTTTTGTTTCTGGGTTTTTCCCTCAACATTATGTTTCTGAAATTCACCCAAGTCACAGCTTGTAGTAGTAATTTTATTTATTACTGTACTAATAATATGCCATCATAGGAATGTACTACATTGATTTATTCTCTTGTCTATGAATGTTTGGGTTGTTTTCCGTTTGGGTCTCTTATGAAATAAAGCTTTTAAGAACATTGTGTACATGACTTAGGCACACATTTGGTATACATATGTGCATATTTCTGTTGGGAATACCTCTAGGAGAATTTCTTGTTCACAGAAAATGTATACATCCAGCTTCGATAGTTACTGCCACATGGTTTTCAATACAGTCCAATTTTGTGTCATCTTTTATTACGACTAGTAATTTTCTTGAGTCTTGTTTAGTACATCTTTGCTTGCCCTAAGCAAAGATTAATGGTATATTTTTCTAGAATTGTTTTTTCATCTTTCATATGAAAGTGAAAAAGTGAAAGGTGAAGTCGCTCAGTCGTGTCCAACTCTTTGCAATCCTGTGGACTGTAGCCCGCCAGGCTCCTCCGTCCATGGGATTCTCCAGGCAAGAATACTGGAGTGGGTTGCCATTTCCTTCTCCAATCTTTCACACATACATCCACAATCTGTCTGGAGTAGATTCTTGTGTATGATGTGTGGTGGGGTGAAGTTGTATTTTCCGGCCATGTGTGTGCAATTGATCTGGTGCTATGTACTGAAAAGACCATCTTTTTCCTTCTCTGTTGTAGTAGAACTTTAGCCAAAAATCAGGAGATCATGCAAGTATGATTCTAACTCTCAGTTCTCCATTCTGTTTCACTGATATCTAATTGTCCATCCATGTGCCAAGACAATGCTTCCTTAATTACTGAGTCATTATAATGCCTTGATGTCTGATACTGTAAAGCGTCTCATTCTGTTCTTCTTCAAGACAGTCCTGTTCTTGGCTCTTGCCGTTTCTATAAGTAAAGCTGGAATTTTAACTGGGATTACACTGAATCAGTTTGGGGAAAAATGAAGTTTTATAATAATGATTATTCCAATCCATAAATGTGAAACATCCTTCTATGTATTTAAGTATTAAATTTCTTTCAGTATGCTTTTTAGTTTTCTGTATGGCAGGTTTACACATTTTTCCTTGAATGTATTTGATGAATTTTTTAATGCTATTGTACAAGTTCTGACTTAAAAAACCTTCCTAATTACATGCTGCTATTATATATAATTTACTGATTCTTAATATTGAGTTGTGATGGAATTCCAATTGAGCTATTTCAAATCCAAAAAGATGATGCTGTGAAAGTGCTGCACTCAATATGCCAGCAAATGTGGAAAACTCTGCAGTGGCCACAGGACTGGAAAAGGTCAGTTTTCATTCCAATCCCTAAGAAAGGCAATCCCAAAGAATGCTCAAACTACACAATTGCACTCATCTCACATGCTAGTAAGGTAATGCTCAAAATTCTCCAAGCCAGGCTTCAGCAATACGTGAACCGTGAACTTCCAGATGTTCAAGCTGGTTTTAGAAAAGGGAGAGGAACAAGAAATCAAATTGCCAACATCCACTGGATCATCGAAAAAGCAAGAGAATTCCAGAAAAACATTTATTTCTGCTTTATTGACTATGCCAAAGCCTTTGACTGTGTGGATCACAATAAAATTCTGAAAGAGATGGGAATACCAGACCACCTGACGAGAAACCTGTATGCAGGTCAGGAAGCAACAGTTAGAACTGGACATGGAACAACAGACTGGTTCCAAATAGGAAAAGGAGTAGATCAAGGCTGTATATTGTCACCCTGCTTATTTAACTTTTATGCAGTGTACATCAGGAGAAACGTTGGGCTGGAAGAAACACAAGCCTGGAATCAAGATTGCTGGGAGAAATATCAATAACCTCAGATATGCAGATGACACCACCCTTATGGCAGAAAGTGAAGAAGAACTAAAGAGCCTCTTGATGAAAGTGAAAGAGGAGAGTGAAAAAGTTGGCTTAAAGCTCAACATTCAGAAAACTAAGATCATGGCATCTGGTCTCGTCACCTCATGGGAAATAGATGGGGAGACAGTGGAAATAGTGTCAGACTTTATTTTTTGGGGCTCCAAAATCACTGCAGATGCTGACTGCAGCCAAGAAATTAAAAGACGCTGACTCCTTGGAAGGAAAGTTTTGACCAACCTATACAGCATATTTAAAAGCAGAGACATCACTTTGCCAACAAAGGTCTATCTGGTCAAGGCTATGGTTTTTCCAGTGGTCATGTATGGATGTGAGAGTTGGACTGTGAAGAAAGCTGAGTGCCGAAAAATTGATGGTTTTGAACTGTGGTGTTGGAGAAGACTCTTGAGAATCCCTTGGGCTGCGAGGAGATCCAACCAGTCCATCCTAAAGATCAGTCCTGGGTGTTCATTGGAAGGACTGATGCTGAAGCTGAAACTCCAGTACTTTGGCCACCTGATGTGAAGTGTTGACTCATTGGAAAAGACCTTGATTCTGGGAGGGATTGGGGGCAGGAGGAGAAGGGGACGACAGAGGATGAGATGGCTGGATGGCATCACCGACTTGATGGGCATGAGTTTGAGTAAACTCCAGGAGTTTGTGACGGACAGGGAGGCCTGGTGTGCTGCGATTCATGGGGTCGCAGAGAGTCAGACACGACTGAGCGACTGAACTGAACTGAACTGAATATTGAGTTTATTTTGGGAAACATTGTTAAATGCATTACTTTGTTGGCTTCAGTTTCAGAAGTTTACAATGCACATAATTACATCATCAGTGAATAAGAACAGTTTTCTTTCTTGCTGCTGTAGACTGGATGTTTGTATCTGTCCCTTTAAAAATTCATACACTGAAGCCTAGCCCGTAATGGCATAGTTTAATAGTGGCAGGAGGGGCCTGGAGGAGGTGATGAGGTCACCAGGCGAGCCTCTGTGAATGGGTTAGTGCCCTTGTGACAGAGACCCCAGGGGGCGCGGTGCACCTTCTGCCCTGGGGTGACCAGGCTGCAGGTCCTCGCCAGATGCCAGCCCTCCCAGTTCAAGGTTTGGACTTTCAGCCTCTGGAACCATGATGAATGGTTTACCGTTTATAAGCCACCCAGCCTGTGGTGATCTATTATTGCAGCTCAGAGACTGACATACTGCAAGACTTACATGTTCTATTTTATTCCCTGTGCCTCCAGTGCCTCGCGCTTCTAGTGAATGACAGAGTCAGGAATAACTGACATCCTTTTTTGCCCCCGGTCTTAGGCAGGAAGAGTTTTTCATATGCCACTACAGAAACCTCCTATGACACGTGACATTTATTGTGGAAGGCTTCCATAATCTATAATCAGATTAAAGAGGCTGCTTTCTGTCAACAGCTTGCTGAGGGTAGAGTGTCTACTAGGCAGATGACTCATCCCTTCTTCTGGGAGGAGCAGATGAAAAGTTGGCAACAAATTCTAGAAATGCTATTTCAGTACAGCTCCATCCTGGCCGTGGGCACACATGGGAACAGGGGGTTTGCCCATAACGAACAAGCAGGGAAGAGAGTAGAGAGGCCTACGCAGGCATCGACAAGGAATTCCTCCTCTTTCTTTTCCCTTTCTGAGCCACGTTTCTCCTTCCATCAGCCTCTCAACTGGCCTGGCCCCTCCCAACATTCTTGTATCTTTTTTTCTTCCTGATTTTCACTATAGATGGCAGTTCCTGTGTGCCCTGGATAAAATGAATTGAGAAGCAGTCTTCTAATCTATTCACTGTCCCTGTTGGTCGGAAGATCACTTCTAACTTGCTGGGTGGGCGACCGGTGACCAGCTGAGCCAGTCCCGTCCCGTGGCCCTGCACCCGATGCCCTTTGCCCTCATGTCCAGGGCAGCAGAAGCTCTGGTGTCCACCACTCCCCTCTGGGCTCTGTGTCCCAGCCCCTCACATTTTCTAAGAGCAGCTGTGCTGTTGGAGTCTCCATGATTAACAAAGTATCAAGCCATTCCGCAGGAACCTTCTAGAACTGCCTCTCAGGAGACATCTGATGGATCTCTGCTTCACAGATGGCTTATCAGCACATCGAGTAGTGACTTGCTCTTCTGTCTCCACTATCCTGGGTACATTTTAGAGGAAAAAACCTCCAGGTCATATGATAGGTGTTTCATCTTTGTTAAGACAAGCACCTGGCCATGAATCTTTATCCTATTAGCTGCGTGCCGAACCAGTCTATCCGTGGGTTCACTCTGAGAGTCTGTAACTCCACATTTGCTTTAGCTCTCTTACAAAAGCTTGGGATTATTTATTTTCTCTGTGTATATTCTTGGCATATTTCTGCCTAGAGGAAGAGCAAAATCAATAAGTCCTAGAGTTTTATTAAGTTTCTCGAAGAGCAGGATATCTTATCTGTTGGCTGGAGTTGGTTAATCACCATACTGTATGAATCCATTTTGGGACGGTGGTTTCTCCTGCATGTTTTTCAGATGACATTAGTAATAGTGTTGTCTAACTTGAAAACCCCATTTGAAGAATAATTGTTGCTCCTGGCTACGTATCAGTGCCTCTTAGTGTAGCTCAAAGCTGCCAAAGATAAACAACATTTCCTACACAAATATTCTGTCTTTTCAGTCTGCCACGTGCTGTTGTTCAATCTCGCTTCTGTTTCCTGTGGGTCTAATTGTGTCAATCTTAGCTCCCATTTTAGGATTTACCGGTTTGGTGTCAGGCTAGTCAATCCTAAAGGAAACCAACCCTGAACACTCATTGGAAGGATTGCTGCAACTCCAATACTTTGGCCACTTGATGTGAAGAGTCGACTCATTGGAAAAGACCCTGATGCTGGGAAAGATGGAAGGCACAAAGAGGGAGTGGCAGAGGATGAGATGGTTGGATGGCATCGCTGACTCAATGGACGTGAATTTGAACGTGCTCTGGGAGACACTGCAGGACAGCGGAGCCTGGCGTGCTGCGGTCCTCGGGGCTGCAAAGACCCAGACTCACCGTAGTGACTATAGCGACCGGCTGCCCCTTAGCCTGCTTTCCAAAGAAGTCAAGGGAGAGCACACAGCCCTTACTCGCTTCCGGTCTAACGTGGAGCATTCTGTGTGAGCGGCCTGGGGTAAAGCTAAGCGGGCGGTCCCGGTTCCCGCGCTCCGAGGGCGCAGAAGCCAGCAGCTTGCACAAACGCTGCGATCGCGCCCGCTCTTTGCCGGAGCCGTTCTCCCTGCAGCCAGGCCGCTGCTTCTCCCTGTCCTCTCCTTGGCTATTCCGGACTTTCGTGACCGTCTCCAGATTCATTTCTCTGCCCCGTTTTCTCCTGCTCTCAGCACGTATACCCACCTTTCTGTTCATTAAGAAAAATAAGGAATCACGTCCTCCACAATCCAAAACCACCGACACAGTGGATTTCCACCAAGATTCACGCTTTCCCAGTCTTCCTTCGAGCTCACTGCCAAAGTCGGACTCATCTGTCCGGCCACCCGCCTTGGAGTTTGCCTTGTGACTTGACCCAGACCCTGGGCCATCAGTCATCTACTAGGCATTCTGTGCGCTCCCTTCAAATACACACATGTTCTTTAAAAAAACAAATCCTCTGACCCCGTATCTCTGTCTGGCCACTGTTGGATGTCTCTTAACCTTTGCAACCGAACTTCCTGAAGAGCCATTTACATTCCCAGTTCCCCTCCTCACCGGCCATTCATGGCTCCTCTGACAACAATTTGTCTCCTGCCCCCAAGACCGCAATGAAATTATTTCCACCAGTTAACTTCATGCTACTAAATCCAGTGGATCTGTTTCTTCCTCCTTGTAATTATCTCAGGATGTAACAACTCCCTCCTTCTTAAAGTCCCCTCCTTTCGGCTTTCCTCACAGTCTTCTTCTCTGGTCTTCCTCTCGTGTCTCCAGCCCCTTGTCCAGGCCGCCCCGATTGGCTCTCTTCTCTTGGGATCCCTCTAGGATGGCAGGGTTCCCGGAGGTCTCTTCCCAAGTGTCTGTGTGTTTCGACAGCGAGCTCCACCGTCCTCATACCTCCAGACAGCTCAGTTCTCTCTGCGGAGCTGCAGGCTCTCATTCGCTAGAATATCTCTTAGTCACCGGGAGTCAGTATGCTCCAAACGTGTCTCACGGTCCTTGTTCTAAGCAGACAGCTTCCGCACTTAAAGAGTAGTGCCCGGAGGCCCAGAAGAAAACCTAACCCATTCTGCATTTTCCATCTTAGCCAGTATATGTTTGCCTGTTTTATCTCCCGAAGATAGCGGAAATCTCTTCCTTCTCTCTGCCATAATTTTATTTCACCAACTGCCCATATTGGCTTTCTAGGTGGTCTTCTCAAGATTCCCTCGGTTTGACCTCAATAAACCTGATACACTTAACGTTACTAGAATTATGCTTCTAAAATGTGAATCCATGCTGATTTCACTAAAACTTGTCTATAGATTTGATGAAAGTCTAATAAAAACTATGTCTTCTTCTAAAAAACATACATTTAAAAATGTTATTCTAGAGTAGATATAAAATAGCAAAGCGCTAAGAACAGCTGGGATATTTGTGAAGATTGGGGGGAAAGACTTGCTTTACTGATGCCAAGGTTGGTTTGAAAGCTTTAATCGAGGCAGTGTGCTACTGCCTCACGGGTAGACAAACCGATCAACAATGCATAATGGAAAACCCAGGAGACTCACTTATAAATGGACATATGATATTTGATAGAGGTCTGTCTCTTAGGGCAAAATAGGGGAAACAGAAATTACTCAGTATTTTAAGTAGGAGGAATTTAAAACAGGAAAAGGAGTTATGTGATTTACTGAAGGGCTAGAAGTACAAAAGTTTTGGACACAGAGTACATCACCTTTATAGTTCACGGCTACAGCCATCCAGAGTCAGAAATATTTGGTTGCTACCCAGAGGTCAGCAAACTGGGACATACCTTTAACATCTCCAAACTGCAACCGCAAGACAGGTGACTAGCATAGAAATTCTAAGCCCATCTGCTCCTAAAGTAAAATAAAATTGAGCTTCCTGCCTCTCTACGTCTGTGTTTCCTCTGCCATTGTTGCTGGGAATGAATGGCTTCAACCCCCCTACTGTTCTCCAAGTTTTTTTTATAAAAGTGAATTTCTCTGACTGCATCTAAACCACATCGCAAACCTTGCTGGCAAAGAAGTTTGGAAAATTCAATTCCTAGGTTTCTAGCTTCTGTGATAAAGGGGAGAGCAAGAAGGGGAAATCAATGAGTGCCATGGGCCACAGGAAACATCTAGCCTGGGGTGCATTGAAGATCAATGGAGAAAAAGAAGAAACGCTCAATAAACAGTGCTGAGACAACTGGGTGTCCATTCCAGAAACTGAAACTGAATTCGTGCCTCATACCACACACTAGTGTGGACTTAAGGAGATAAGAACTTTAGGAAAAAAATAGAGAAGAATATGTTTTCTGGTTTTGGGGCAGAGAAGGTTTTGATAAATAAGGTACAAAAAGTTCTAACCATAAATAAATGATTAATTTTAATATGGCTTTCCTAGTAGCTCAGATGGTAAAGCATCTGCCTGCAATGCAGGAGACCTGGGTTCGATCCCTGGCTTGGAAAGAACCCCTGGAGAAGGAAAAGGCCACCCACTCTAGTATTCTTGCCTGGAGAATTTCGTGGACAGAGAACATATTAAATTAATGACTTCTGTTTACCAAGAAATACCATAAAATGAAAAGACGACAAAGTAGCAGAACATACTTATCATATGTGTAACCAACAAAACTTTAATATCCAGATTATTTAAATAAAAAAACTTTTACCAATCGATGCATGCTAAGTCACTTCAGTCATGTCCAACTTTGTGTAGCCTGCCAGGATCCTCTGTCCATGGCATTTCCCAGGCAAGAATACTGGAGTGGGTTGCCATTTCCTTCTCCGTGGGATCTTCCTGACCCACGGATCTTCCCAGGGATCGGACCTGCGTCTCTTATGTCACTTGCATTGTCAGGACAGTTCTCTACCACTAGCATTACCAATCAATGGGAACAACATATATGCAAACAAAACAGAAAAATGAGCAAATGACCTGTACATGTATGGTCAATAACCATAAAAAAGTATTCAGTCTCTTCAGCCGTCAGGGAAATATGAATTATAATCAAATTGAAATATTATTATATTGGTACATATTAACAAGTAAATATTGTCTTCTTGACTTTTCCTTCTTATCCAGAACATCTTTGTGTGTTTAATCTCCTCAGTTCAGTTCAGTTCAGTTCACTTGCTCAGTCGTGTCCGACTCTCTGCAGCCCCATGAACCGCAGCACGCCAGGCCTCCCTGTCCATCACCAACTCCCGGAGTTTACTCAAACTCATGTCCATCAAGTGGGTGATGCCCTCTAACTATCTCATCCTCTGTCGTCCCCTTCTCCTCCTGCCCCCAGTCTTTCCCAGCATCAGGGTCTTTTCCAATGAGTCAGCTCTTTTTGCATCAGGTGGCCAAAGTACTGGAGTTTCAGCTTCAGCATCAGTCCTTCCAATGAACACCCAGGACTGATCTCCTTTAGGATGGACTGGTTGGATCTCCTCGCAGTCCAAGGGACTCTTCAAGAGTCTTCTCCAACACCACAGTTCAAAAGCATCAATTCTTCGGTGCTCAGCTTTCTTTATGGTCCAACTCTCACACCCATACATGACCACTGGAAAAACCATAGCCTTGACTAGATGGACCTTTGTTGACAAAGTAATGTCTCTGCTTTTATCTCCTAAATACAGCCTAAATCTTTTTTTTTTTTTTTCCTTTTCACTTTCATTGCTTTAGTTCACAAGGTCTTGGAGAAGATATGGATCAAAAGACTTCTTATATAGTGGTTTTTGAGAGGTAAATTAGAAAATCACTTTGGAAAACAAGTTGGGATTATTTTGGAAATCTGAACATGGAAACACACTATAACTGAATAATCCATATCTAATGTATATCTAAAATATAAAATGACCTGTATTCTAAGATGTTCAGTTTATTTTAATTTTTAGCAATTTTTGTACACATGCCCAGAAGGCAGGGCTCCTAGAAAACAGTTTGTAATAACCAAGAACTAGAAGCTTTAAAAATCCACTATCAAGAGGTGGATATATAGTTTTTTTATATATCCACGGTTATTCTCGGTCACCTATGGATCTTAGAAATCTGGTGTTTAGTAAAAGAGAAGTTCTAAAATACCCTAAACAGTATGACACCATTAAGATGAGGCTCAAGCACACAGATTAAGCAACATTTTAAGACACAAACATTTAATAAAGCTGTTTTTTTAAAGGTAAAAGATAAACATGAAATTCAAAACAGTGCTTTATCTCTGGTTTATTGAGAAGGGGATGAGATATGGCAGAGGAGAGGCACAAAGGCAAATGCAGCCTATTCACAATGCGTTTATTGAGTAATACACTCAAGGGCATTATATGTATTTTATGTTTACAACATAAATACGTTAAATTCTTTTGTATCAGACATTATATTTTTTAAAAAAAGATCTGTAGTCTAAGCTGGTCAGCTTGTTTTAAGGGTGGGACTATCTCTTAATATTTCTTTCATTCTTGATGTTTAACAGATACATCATGATATTTAAAAAAGCTGCTTCCTAGCTGCTGTCATCTATCTATATTCCCCATGTGGCCACCCCGTTGTTAAAAATATTCATTTTACCTCAATGCCAGAATGGCTTACTGCCCACCAAAATAGCAAGCAGCGTACTGAAAGCAAATAAATCAGGAAAAAATATCTGATTTACCAAACCGGGGGAAATGTAACACTCACTGAAAAGCCCCTGCGGATTTAATGCGCTAACATCCAGCCCGGAAACAAACCTGCAAAAGTGACAACGCAGAGTCAGGGTCAGTCACTGTGGGTTTTGGTTTTCTTTTGAAATCTTGGTTGCGTTCACTGTTGGAGGTAGAGGGGGAACAAGCCAAGTGAAACGAGAGGAGATGGCTCAACGTCTCTCTTCTGAGTTCCACATCACCTCCTTTCCCCCTGCGCTTCCGCCTTTACCCTCGGGCGCCTTCTCTAAGGCCTGCGGGCCTCTGCCCGTCCAGCCCGCCTTCCGCCTGCTCCCTGGTCTCCGCGGAAAGCGGGCGCGGCTGGGCCCGAGCGGGCCTGCCTCAGGCCGCTGCGCCTCGGCCGAGCCTGGCTGCGCGTCCTGGGGTCCGCCCGGCCCGCCTTGCCCAGCGAGCCCTCGCCCGGAAGCGGCGCGGGGCGCTTTAGCGTGAGGGGTCCTCAGCCTCTCACGTGCCTCTCCGGCGGCGCTCCGCACTCCCGTAGAGGTTAGTTTTCTCACCCTTCCTCTCAGAGCTTAAGCTGCTTGAGAGCGAAGACCACATCCTCTCGCTGCTAGCCACCGTGTGTGCTCAGTCGTGTCGGCTCTGTGTGACCCCGGGGCTGCAGCCCGCCCGGCTCCCCTGTCCGCAGGATTCTCCAGGCAGGGGCCGGAGCGGGCTGCCGTGCCCTCGTCCAGGGGCCTTCCTCGCCCAGGGGCTGGACCTGCGTCTGCCGCGCTGAGGCCTTCCCTGGCAGCCCAGCGGGTAAAGAGCCTGCCTGCCACGCAGGGGGCCCTGGTTCAGTTCCTGGGAAGGGACGCTCCCCTGGAGAAGGCAGAGGCTGCCCGCTCCAGTATATTTGCGCTTCCCTTGTGGCTCAGCGGGTAAAGACACCGCCTGCGATGAGGAAGACTTGGGTT